ATCCCCTTTTGCTTGGGCCTGACGTGGACACCGGTGCCGCTCCTTGGCACCCCAGTGGGTTGCATGCAGCGGTGGGTGGGTGGGTCCTGCCCCCCGCAGCCCCAGGGACGCTGAGCAGTGTCCCCAGGCCAGCTCAGGCTCTTTTCCAGCCTCTCTGCCTGACCCTGGCTGGGTAAACATCCCTCCAGCTGCAGCCGCCCCAGGGGCTGGGTGTGCACATGTGTGAACATGTGTGATCCTGGATAGCCAGCACATCCTGCTGCTGTGACATGCCGGAGCCTGGCTGCCACCGGTGGCACTCAGAGCAGGAGACACAATGCTGTCAGCTGTCTCAGCCAGCGCCAGGGCTGGACCCACTGCTCTGGTGGGTGTGGGGGGGGCGAGTGGGGTGGCCAGCAGCCCCCAGCCCAATCCCATGGGATGCTCCTCACCCCGCAGGTGAAATGCTACAGCCCGGTGCAAGGCACCATCTACGACTACGGGGCCTTGACCATCGACGGGGACGAGTATGTCCCCTTTCGGAAGTATGCAGGGAAGATGGTGCTCTTCGTCAACGTGGCCACGTACTGAGGCCTCACCCTGCAGTACCTTGGTAAGGGTCCCGTGGGGCATGGGGACCCTGGCGACAGGGCAGGCAGCCGTGGAGCAGGCAGTGTCACCCAGGCATGCAGCTCCTGGCAGGTCCCCATGGCCTGACCTGCCCTGGGGAGGTGGGGGAAAGGGGAATGCGGGCACACAGGGATGCTCCGAGGGGGTCAGTGCAGGTGGGGGACAGTGATCTTGGTCCCCTGCTACCCCTTCCTGGCTCTGCTTGCATGCAGAACTGAATGCACTACAAAATGAGCTGGGGCCATATGGGCTCGTCGTCCTGGGCTTCCCCTCCAACCAATTTGGGAAGCAGGAACCCGGACAGAACTCGGAGATCCTCCCTGCGCTGAAGTGAGTACTGCAGCAGGGGCTGTGGGGCACCTGCCGTCCCTGGGGTGGGGTCCCCAGGCAGGTGGTGGGGGCATTGGCTGCAGCTCCTGCTGGCTGTCACCCCCCTCCCAGCCTCAGGCTGTGGCCCCCAAAAGCAGGGGGCTTGGGGCCCCCCCAGTGCCCCTGTACACCACGGAGAACTAGCCCCTGCATGATGCTCTGCCCCCTCTCCCCTTGCAGGTATGTCCGGCCCGGGGGTGGCTTTGTCCCCAACTTCCAGCTCTTCCAGAAAGGAGATGTGAATGGGGCCAAGGAGCAGAAGGTCTACACCTTCCTCAAGGTGGGTGCCATGGCAAGGGGGAGATGAACTTGTTTTTTGGGGGGACAAGGCAGTGATGTGCTGTCCCACTGTTGCAGAACGCCTGTCCCCCGGTGGCGGAGGAGTTTGGGAACCCCAAGAACCTCTTCTGGGAGCCCCTGCGGAACCACGACATCAAGTGGAACTTTGAGAAGTTCCTCGTGGGCCCTGACGGTGTGCCCGTCATGCGCTGGTACCACCGTGCCAACATCGCGGTCGTGAAGAACGACATCATTGCCTACATGAGGGAGCAGCAGCAGCACCAGCAGCAGGGGGAGGCGGGCGAGGAGAGGGAGGGGGG